GTGTATGTGTTTTTCAATGCACTCCTGGATTGTTTTGCTGGCGCTACCGGACAAAAGATGCATTTGCCTAGGAGTCTTGCAGCCGCAGGTCCTCTTAGAGGCGCGGGGAGCATTCGGTTGTATATAATCAATACTCGTGATGCAGAGTAACGGCTTGCCGCACAGTCCATTGTGTGGACATAAGTAAGCACACAGATTTGTCATATCCGAGGGTTCGAGGGTGATGTTATAACTGGTTGCGTTCAGCATGACTTAAGGGGCTTGCCCTGGCTTCATGCTTTCTGGGGCGAAAGGGGATCCATTGCCCAGGGCGCCCCGTGGTGATCTATACCATGCTCTTCAGCCAGCGATTGGCACAGCGCCTTGAGAAATGGAAAGCCAGTCCTGGGGCCGCCCTTCAAAACCAGCGAAAAAAAGCGGTTCACCCTCAAAAGGCACAGCCATTTGGACAGTTTGGACAATTGTGTGTTTCCTGATTTTTGTGGGGATTGCGAAGGTGCCAACAGCCATGCAGACAACCCTAATGCGGCAAGTGGTGCCAAGGGTCATCATGATGGACTAACGGCTGCTTCTACCTGAAATAATAAGGGGAACAATAGGCACGTGTATGACTATAAGATATGATGTGGTAAACACGTGTAAGATGTGAGGTGAGTACGTCGCTATGCTTCCTGTAACTGGGCATAGTGACATTTGTAGTGTGACACAAGACGACACTTCTTATTGATTTTTATAGTCACCTTGACTGACCCTCCATGACCCACCAATATTTGTGCCACTTTAAGCGCTGTAAACCTTCAATGTATCCCCCTGAAGCGCAGTTTCACCGGCTTGATCAGCTCGTTGCCAAGGCAGCTGTTCCAACTGCTGGCATTGTAAGCTTGTGTACTGCGCCCTTCCAATAATTCTCAATGAGTTTGTGGTGGTCAAAGTGGAAAGGTGACATCAAGGTGACTTTAGTGCTTTGTTTTTAAGACTTTTTTTTTTTTTAAAAAAAAAAGAGAGAAACCAAAACCAAAAAAAAACATCCCACGCCCCACGTGGCTTGGATCTCGGAGGTATCTGCCCCCGTGGCTTCTTCGGATGTCCACCTTCGGGCACCTGGAGCGGCTCCTGGTCTTCGCTCTCGACGAGATTTCCATGGAGGCGGACGAACGGAGGGTCGAACGGTCGAACGGTCGCAAGCCGAGAAGGGAAAAAGGGGAAGACAGCGCCACAAGAAGCCACCGAGGGAAACAGCGAGCGCAAAAAAGGGCATGTGTTTTATTTTTTGTGTGTTACTGTTTTGTTTTGGAACTTGGTGCTCCCAGATGTCCATTCAACCCACTGAAAGTTAACGTAGCTTTTTGGCTTTTTAGCTTCTTAGATGTTTGGCTTTTTAGCTTTTTAGCTTTTTAGCTTTTTTGTGGGGATTTCCATTTAGCACACTGAAAGATACACTTTCAGCAGGGGATCTGAGGACAGGCCAGGGAAGACAACGCCGCACGAAACCACGAGAGAAACCGCGAGTGTAACAAGGGAAGGCATAAATTTGTTATTTGTTTCTGGGGTTTCGCCACTTTCAGAAGGAGAAACAAATTTCATTTTGGCCTACGCTTCCGAAAGTTGGACTGGCTTCGGCCATTTGTCCACCAGTTCAATGTTCTGCAAGTCGGTTGTTAGCTCAGGTTCACGTTCAGGTTTTAGAGGTTGCGGCTATCAGGTTCAGGATTTTGGTTTGGGGTCGGGCTCAATGAGGGTTTAGGTAGGCTTTAGTTTGGTTTAGGTTTTCAGTGTAGGGCACCCGAAGCTGTTAGGAGAGGAGGGTCGCCCAGCGGGCGGACGGCGGATGGCGTTGGGAGAGTCGTTCCGGCAAGCGAAAAATGCACTGTTGAACCAACAGGTAGTTACTTTTCATCATTTTTTGTCGTTTCATTCTTTTTCTGGTGGATGTCATTAGTTTTTCGAGTGACCACTTAGCACTTCTTCCTGGCCCTTTGCGGGAACCTCGCAATGGGCCTTGCAAAAAGTTCTGCTCGAAGCCTGCAGCCTGCAAGATCACACTAGATTGTCTTGCCCGAGGGTCCAACCTGCCTCATTCACCCGCACACTTTCTACAGTCCACTATCAGGAGAATGTGCTTGGATGTGTTGCGCTGCTTGAAGGGATGATGCGCATGTTGCACAAGGTTTATGCGTCGCACTGTCTGCACGGGAGCGAGACATGGCCTGTATTGCGCGAAGTTCCGGGCCCCTCCGCTGAAAGTGTGCCTGTGCCAACGCACGGCTTACAGTCAAATCAAGACATGTTCATGTCGACGAGGCTTGTTTTTGTTGATCACCTCTCATAAAACACACAACAGGGGAATACTGACAGTTTTTTTCGTGCTGGAAGCAGCCAATCTGTGCATGAAAGTGCGCTGCGCACTTGCGGATTCTTGCCGAGATGCGAGTTCTCACGGGAATGTCAGCCTCTGAAGAACACTCAAGTATTAGGTGGCGCCATCAGCAAAGGTTTCCAATCACAAGTCGGCAGCCTCGTGAGATGCTAATTGCTATGCATTAGGCGTGGTCCAATTGAAACATGAAATGACCAGCCTGCCTTTGCTTCGCAGCCAGCGGAAACATGCCCAGAGCCTGTTCAACGTCCCGCTCACAAGCCCCTTACAACTTCTTGAGTAGCTTGAGACAAAGAGTGGGCTGCCAAGCATGAGCTCAACATAAATAACAGCTGGCATCCGCAATAGTACTCGCTGCGAAACTTTCTGTTTGCACCACCCAATGCCACTGCAATCTTTTTACACTGTGCTCCTTGGCCGATTTGCCGCTGCCATTGGCTTGAGTGCTTAGATGAAGCACTGAGCAGCATGGGAAACACATGGAACATGTGATCAAGAGCAATGGCCTGATTTTGCCGGCCATCTTAGCAGGGCTCCTTAAAAGATACATTTTGTTGCCCATTTGAAACATGGCTTTTTCCACCAAAATAAAGGGAAACCACCATTTAGAAGGCAATGTTCAGGTGTATAATGTGAGGATCCCTGCTTAGTGACAAGGCTGGCCATGCCCCTGGACCGGCAAGCGAACCCACCTGTTGAGCTTAGTTTCTTCTTATCCAAATCCAAATTCAGCGATTCGATCTCAGCAAAAGACAATTCATTTGTTTGTTTCACCAGACCTTGCCACAGCTCTGCTCAACCTTTGCCAGATCGGAAAGCTGATGGATATCTCCCGAAAGGACCAAGTGGCTCTGGAACCAAAGTCACCTGTTTGTCCTGAGATTTTTTCGGGATGCTCGGCTTCCGGCCCCGGCCATGAACTCCTTCAACATTTCCCGGGGCTTGGTGCGGCTGGGACGCCGGAAAGCCCAGAATACACGGCTCAACGCATTGCTTGGCAGATTTCTTAAGCCTGAGGGTGAATGAAAGCTGGGCAAATCTTGGCTCTGCATGGCCCTGAAATCGGTTTTCAAGATGAAATATCACCTTTTACCACCTTTTGGGCCAGTTTAGTGTCTAAAGTGAGTTTCGATTTGGCGGGTTGATGCTCGAAGGGAAATACAGGGAACGGTGACTCAATGCTTGAATCTTGGGGCGCAAGGGAACGGCGCGTAGAGAGCTATGTTGATCTTGAAGGAGTGATGCAGGGGTGGTGGGAACATTCATACTGGGTCAAGCAATGGGTCGTGTAACGAGATGTCATGGACACCGATTTCCCTTTGCGCCTGAATTCTGCATGGTGGGTGAGTCTCATGCTGACATAAACCTTCAAGTGATCGGCCACGGGAGCCCCCAGTTGTTGCATTATGTATGCCAGAGTGAAGCAGGACTGTGTGCTGATGCTCAGGCCTTTGGGTCACAACCTTATGAGTCTTACGAGTGATCAGATCATCCCATGACACTTGGTGTTGCGTTTCTCATCGCAGCGCTGAATAGTTGCTTGCCTACCAATCGTACAAGAAGAATGGAGTGCTTAGTTTCAGTCGCTTTGAATTGAAGCCATTTAATTCTATTGACGGCACTGTCGATGCATCCTTCACATTCAATCATTGGTGCCTGGGTCTCCCAGAGTGTTTGAGCCTTGCTTTCAGCCAGAGGAAAGAGCACATGATGTGTGTGTGTGTGTGTTTCTTAAGAGTACTCTTTTTGAGCTCTTGTGCAGTAAAGAGAATCCCAAAGGACGCCAATTCATATTTTGACACCATGGCCAAATCGCCTCAACCACCGAAGCGACGTCCACGCTTCAGGCAACAGAAACGTACGTCCAGATGGCCTCAAGTGCCGTGAGGCGGGGGGCTGCCGCCTTGTTCATTTCTGGCGAGGTATCAACTGAAATGCATGCAGGCATATAGGCATAGGCTTTGGGCATACATATACCACAAGCATATAGGCATATAGTTTGCTTTTGTATGCCTATGTGCCTTTACTCGAGAAGGATTCTGGTTCAATCTTCCACTGGCCGCTGTGACGGCTAGCGCACACCATTTGCCAAGCATTGGGCTCTCTTTGCGTGTCACTCTATGGCGGAGATGTCAAGATGTGTGGCTTGTCTTTGCTTGTTCGCGTCAATACACTGCGTCAGGCTGAACCAATCACGGCAAAGTGCAACGCAGTCGTTGAGAGCGGAATTGGGAGCTGAAGAAAGCGGATTTGATACAGTCCCAATTCCGCTCCCATGGAGATAGTTTAAATGGTGAGTTGGATGATGGTGAGTTGCAGTGAGTTTGACATGCCCACATTTGTTTCAATGGCCATGGGGCACAACTTATGGCTCTATTTTGGGGTGGATGAACATCCATTTGCCACCTATTTTAATATTCACCAGGGGTACCATTGGTTTTGACCCACAGCCAAATATTGGGTGTGGCTCAAAATTAAGCAGGAGGGGTTACGCAGGTTTGGTCCATGCTTCCACTTACCAGGGTTCCATTTTGGTACCCGTTTTTTGAGCCACAGCCAAATGATAAATCTGAGTTTTCTGCAGGAGACCGTCGAGGGCGCCTGCTTTCTGGTTGAGGACGTCATGAGGTGCTGGGCCTCAGGACCGTTCAATTGCAACAAACATTGGCAGGCGACCAAAGATGTGTGAAGGCCCCGTCGTGTATTTGTTTTCAATGTTGGTTTTTGCAATGTTGTTGTTGTTATGTTCGTCGGTCATGTGTTGTTATGTTGGTGTGTTATGTGTGTTATGTTAGTTATGTTTTGTGTTGTGTCTGCAATGTTGGTTTTCACACCTGAATCATTGGAAGCGTGTTGCTTCTTTCAGCATTGCATTGCGTGAGAAAGGGATGAATTGTAAGTGAGGTTGGTGAGACGCGTTCTCCCCTTTCGCAAAGTCTCCAAAGACGAAACACAAACATGTTCTCAATGACTTCACCCTCACCGCGGGTCTGCCCGATGGACACAGCGCAATTGTGTCCTTCTGGTCCGCTTGAATGTTTCATGTTGGCACGCGCCATGGGCGTGCTCAGGGATGCAGCAGCAAACGACCCTTTGCCACCCCAAATAGCATTTCGCTGCAACTTGCTAGGGTGCATGTGCCCGTCCGAAAGTCCAAGCGGGCGCATGAGCTCAAGCAGAATACAATGAATCGCAAGCTGTCCCGGCATCAATGCGTGAAAGTTCGGGAAATGTGTGTGTGAACCTGCGTGGAATCATCCACGGGGACTACCGCAGGTTTCTGGATTTGTGTTGCCTGACGGGATGCCGCGAGCTATCAGGACAGGGCATCTCTCAACCAGAGCTGCTGCAGGCAGTGCAGAAGTTTATGTACCACGAGGCACGGAACCACCGGGGCGCGCGCAAACAAACACGCCATGACAGGCTGGCCAGGTGGATCCAATGCGGGCATTCTCAGGAAACGGGTTCTTTGACCGACTTGGCAGGAACGAAGGATAGTCAGCGTGCCGGGAAGGATGCCCCTGGTGCATGCATTTCTGTGCGCATGTGTGTGTGTGTGTACGTGTACGTGTACGTGTTGGTTAGTTTGTTGTTTAGGTAGTCAGCCAGCCAGCCAGACAGTCGCTCAGTCAGTTACTTAGTTGATTAGTTGTTTATGTTAGTCGCTCAGTACGAAAGTCAGACAGTTAATTTGTTGCTTGCTGACTTAGGTACAGCTTAGTACTTAGTTGCTTGGATAGCATGTTGTTGAGTTGGGAGTTAGTTAGTGTCTTAGCCAGTTGGTTACATACAGACTTCCTCACCTACTGAATTGCTTACTGATTTGCTTACGTATTGATGCTTGTTTGTCCTTTTTTTTTGCCTGTCTGCCCATGTCTGTTATTTGTCTGTCCGTCGGTCTGTCTGTCGGTGTGTCTGTCTGTTTGTTTGTTGCTTGTGTGTTATGTTGCTTGTTTGTGTTTTTGTTTGTTTGTTTATTTTGTTTGCTTGTTTCGTTTACTTACTTATTTGTTTGTTTGTTTGTGTGTTTGTTTGTCTGGTTGACTGGTTGGTTGGGTGGATCATGGTTTGTTCGTTCGTTTGGTTGGTTAGTTGGTTGGTTGGTTAGTTAGTTAGTTGGGTATTTGTTTGTTTGTTTGTTTGTTTGTTTGTTTGTTTGTTTGTGTGTTTGTTTGTTTGGTTGACTGGTTGGTCGGGTGGGTCATTGTTTGTTTGTTTTATTTGCTTTGCTATATTCATTTGTTTGAGTGTGTTTGTTTGTTGGTTTGTTGGTTTGATCATTTGTTCGTTGGTTCGTTGGTTTGTTCGTTCGTTCGGTTGGTTGGTTGGGTGTTTGTTTGGTTGTTTGTTTGTTGCATGGTTTGCTTTGTTTTAGTTGTTTGTTTGTGTGTGTGGCCCTTCCATGGTTTCACGTGGCTTTCCTTTCCAAGTGGTCCCTTCGGTGTCTCCGACCCGCGAGGACGGCGAGGAGCTTCGCTTTCGCCTCTCCGAGAGCCTGGAGGGCCTGACGATCTTTATCGCCGCGAGTCGCCGTCTGGGGGCCAAGGCCTTCGACACCCAGCCACCAACTGCAATAAGAGCTCGATGCAATAGCTCGCCATCAAATTTCCGCAGTGCGCAAATGGAGCTCGCCAGGAATGTTTTTTTGTTTGTGCTTGGCAAGCCCTTGAATCATTTCGGAATTTACAGTGAACCATGGAAGTGCGCCAGGTGTGTATTCCCATTGGAAGGTGCTATCGGGATCCCCAGAAAGGAACCCGCACCCGTACATTTCCCGGAAAGTCTATCTCTGAAGGACTTGCTGGGTGATTTTGTTGGGCCTATTGTTCTTCACCAGCGTTTGCTTTTAGACTGGCGGAACAGGTGACGGAAAGTGAAAAAGCGTTGGCGAGAAGGCTCCTGTCAGCTTTTGCGCTTGGCTGCAGGCAGCCAATCCTCAGCACAGCTCATGAACAAACATGCCCTTTGTCAGAGCAACACGGGAAGGGGTCACTCGATTTGTTCCCGAAGACAGCCGGGCGAGAGTAGATCGCGTTTCTTTCGATTTGACCAGGGGTTGCAACCGCCATGAACGCACCTAGCAGTTTCGGACCAATTCTCTCTGTGCCTGATGCTTGCAGACACCCTCAGGCCGGTCTCTTTGACTGCTTCGCCTGAGGTGGCCAACCCAGAGGCTTCAAGGGCAAGGGCAAGGGCGAGTTTAAAGGACAGGCTCTCTCCGCGGATTTGAGTCGCACATGTTGATTTTAATACAGTCTTTAGAACTTGAAAACACGCTCTTAACATGATGGACAATAATTCAAACAGTGTTCAAAGTTCAATCGTGATAGGGTGTGTGGCAAACTTGACGAAGTGGTAGCCATGTTCGCAAACAGGCCGGTTTGAGTCTCAAAGCTTACCCCCACTTGTCACTGCACTCTTCGAGCATTTTGAAGATCAAGTGGCGGGGCGCGCCCCCAGGTCATGCCGCAGCCTGCAAAGGCGGGTTGGACGTTTAAGCGGAAAGTCGGATGGGCGGCGACCCGAGTGCTTCCCATCCCAGAACCCAAGGTTCTCAGCGGTGAAGGCAGCCTCAGCCAGCTGGCAGAAGTGCTCCTGCAGCTTGGCGTCAGCAAGCCTTTGCTGGTCACTGACGCGCTCCTCGTGCGCCTGGGGTGTGCGAAGCTTTGCACCGATGGGCTGGACGCGGCTGGGATTCGATATACCGTCTTCGACCAGGTGCAGCCAAACCCATCGAGGCAAGAAGTCCTCGATGGCACGAAGCTCTTTAAAGAGTCTGGCTGCGATAGCCTCATCTCTCTTGGAGGTGGCTCACCCATGGACTCTCAGTTGTTCGGTGGCACCAATTATTTTGCCATTTTTTCGGTGGCTGCCCCACGAAAAATGGTCTTCCCCAAAAAGGGTTCCCTTTTTTCCAGGGTCACTGAACCACTGAGGACTGTGCCAAGGCGATCGGGGCACTCATCGCTAACCCTGACAAGGACCTGCTTGACATGGACGGCATGCTCCAGGTGACTTGGTACCGGCCGCAAGCTGCCTCCCATGGTTGCGATCCCCACCACGGCCGGAACTGGCTCCGAGACCACGGTGGCGGCGGTCATTAGCCTGCCGGAAGCGAAGAAGAAGATCATGCTGGCAGATCCAGGCCTGGTTCCACAGGTGGCTATTGTGGACCCTCAGGTTCTCAAGAACTGCCCCAGTCGAATCATGGCGGCGACTGGCGTGGATGCACTTACTCATGCGATCGAGAGCTTTGTGAGCGTCTGGGCCACCGAGGACACTACGAAGAAGTCGCTGATGGCCGCGCAACGGATCCTCTCGAACATCGAGCTGGCCTGTCAGCCGTCGCGGGACGACGCCGATGTCTCGGCCGCGCGGGTGGAGATGCAACGCGGCTCCTTCGAGGCGGGCACAGCCTTCACGCGTGTGAGTGTGGGCTACGTCCACGCCATCGCGCACCAGCTGGGCGGAGTCTTCCACACGCCCCACGGCGAGGCCAACGCCATGCTGCATGCTCCTTGCCACAGTGCTGGAGTACTACATCAGGGACGAAGTCACAGAAGAGGATCTGCGCGTGCTGCAAGAGCCCGGCAGTGTGCGAGCAAGGGCATCCAAAGCTGGGCAGACGCCCTCGGATGGGCCATGCCCATGCTGCGCCAAGCTTTCTGAGCTGGCTCGCGCGGCTGGCATCGCCAATCACTACGAGACCTACTCGCCCGCGATGCAAAGGCGGTTGGCTATCCTGCTGGTGAGGCACATCCGGCTGCTGGTGGCCTCGCTGGGGCTGCCTCTCCAGGTACCCGAGATGAAGGCCGGCGACGTGCGGCCGCTGGCGGAGCGCGCGCTGGCGGAGGCCCACGGCACTAACCAAGCAGCTTGACTGCTGTTGGGTAATTGGATCTTTGGACTTGAACAGTGTGGTTGAAATCAAGTTGGGTTTTCCACTAAACCCCCAAAAAGTAAAAAACTGTTTGCAGGGGGGTCGTTGCAGCAACCAAGGCAGCTGGCGTGCGCTGGGTCCTCGACCTGGGCTACCCCGTTCCCAAGTACATGACCCTGCGCGAGTGCGAGGAAGTCATCGCGACGCTCCTGCCAGATGCAGAGCGGCAGGTGGTCCATGCAACCATCAAAACTCTAGCTCCGTTGGATGCGAAGGCATTCCGGGTGTGAGCGGGGCTTGCCAGCCCACTGCGCTGATGGCTTCTAAGTAGTCTCAGGTTTAGCTGTAGTTGCTTTTGCGTTGGATGCAATCGACGTCCAAATTGGGACCATCCCTTGGTGCCAGCGTGAGTCGAGCTTCAGTTTTATGTGAGCAGGGAAAACAACCGCTGCACAGCTCGTTTGAGGTTGTGCTGAAGTCAATAACATGAGGATATACGGCCATAGCTGCATTTATTGGGTGCTTATGCTGTTCGATTTGCCGGTTTTGTTCCTACTGTACGATACTGTAGCCTTGTTTTAGGATGCGCACGAAAGCAGGGGAAATGACTGCAGTTTCCTGGTCACGTGCATCTCTGGCAAGGAAAAGCAGGGCCTTTTCATCGGGACGGCATCGAGCGACGAGGCAAGTTATAGAGTGGACCAACCCGGCTGTTCAATGTGCATGCTGGTGTTGACAGGTTGATTCAGGAACTACAGCCAAGTATGCACTCCCTCAACGGTATTTTATAAAAGTATTTACATTCGGGGTGCAACAAGCGAGAAGTGCACCGGCCTTTCAGGCTCTGGTTTCAAGTTGATGCAGGCTGCGAATGACTGCTTGCAACATGTCACCAGGTGATTTGTCCCACAAAATCGTTGCATCTGAGACTTGTCAACGTGACATGTAATGAACCACCGCATTGTGAAAAAAAAAGGACTCGGAGCCTCCGTTTCGGTGCGCCGCGAACACGTCATCCAGGATAGGCTACACATTAGCGACTCCTGCAAACGACGACAATCCCTTACACCCTAGGGCGGTTGGGGGGGTCTTGACCTGAGGCCCTGAGGCCTGAATGAATCCCACTTCCAATGCCCCGCCGAGGACTAGGACCCCGAAGCCAGCCAAATCTGATTGAGTGTTGGCATGTGTTGGTGACAAAACGCCGTGATGGCCGTTGTGTCTGAGCATCTCACCCATCCGTCATGATGTTGGCGGTGGCTTTTTGCTTTTGAGATCACGAAGCCTGGGTTTGTGCTTCAATGGCCTGTGCAAATGGTTGCTCTGCCACACATGAAGAATAATGGATTATTATGTTTGCATGTAGGGTATGTGTTCATGTGACGCACGCAGTGGCTGTCCCCGACCAGCAAGCATCTATTGTTCAGTAAAGGCCCCTCGCATGCAGGCAGAGTGTCAAGCTTTTGTTCTTCGAACAGTCCACTTATGCCGAGCAACAAAAGTATCTGCTTCAGCCTGCCACTATGCACGAATTGGATCTTAACCACGTACGAAGTTGAGCAGTGCTTGATGAATCTCAGACCCAGCCCAAGCAGAGTTGGTTCGGCAAGGCCACACACTAGCAGAAGAAACTGCGCTTCTATTTGAAGCGCATCGCAGGGGTCCAGCTATGATATTTGATGTTGAAAGACAATTCAACACAAAGACCCACCAGCACAAAGCACCACAAGTCAGTTGTGTTTTTCTGAACTTGCCAGAATAGGCCTTTGATAGGCCCATGAAGCCCAACCAGTGCAAGCAAAGCGAATGCCAGCCCTGAGTCATTTGCGTGTGCTTACCTGTCAAAGGATCAAGCTGCTCCCATGTGGTACAAGGATCCCACAAAGGCTTTTCGAGTTGTTTTTGAGGGAACCAAAGGAAGAACCACCAAGTTTTGGTGGAGCCTTTCCCCTATTTGGCCATGGTTCAAAACCAATGGTACTAATTTGGGATAGGTGCACCACCCATTTTAGTTTATTTTAGTGGGGATTGGGATGTTCACTGGGGGTACAGGGTTTTGACCCATGGCCATTTGAGTTCAGCCCGGATTCCCTTCTAGCAAGCATCCCAGTTACCCGCGCCAGGTGCGACAGAGCGACATCCGCGGCGACATAGAGAGCGCAGAGGCGAGACAAACGGTTTGGCGCATGTTCGGGTACCTTCCATTTCCATTCTTTCCAGGGATCCTTCTTTTCAGGAAACCATTAAAAACTCATGGAAAACATCAGGTTTGTAACAATATCGATGGTTGCAAAGAATGGGGAATCAACACCTAGATATGTGTTTGATTCAGGGTTGGCTTTTGGGGCATTGATTCCTTGAGAACCCCCACAGGCGTTTGTAAGAGTTCAACATTGTGCTATCGAGGGTTTTAATATTGTTCATGAAGTGGCTGTGGGTCAAAACCAATGGTACCATTTTGGGGTTGGTGCACCACCAATTTTAGTCTATTTTAGTGGGGATTGGGATGTTCACTGGGGGCTAACCGGGCTTTTGACCCATGGCGAAGTTTGCCTTTGTTCCTTTGGCATCGGGCAAGCTGGCAGAGAACAGTTCAATCGCATGTCAATGCGCGGGATACTGGCAACCGCGTTGGCCAGTCTGAGTTGTTTTACTGGGATCGCCAAGTTGATTTGCAGCAGGATGCTCAGAACACTTTCCTGCCTGTTCTGGTATGCGCCAGTGGTTTGGCCAACAAATGAGTTGTACACATGTCCTTCTAAGGTAGGTTTAAAGGCAAACCGCCCAGGAAAGCCAACGGTTGGGCGTCCCCAAATATATTGACGGTCAACCTTACCCCCCCCAAATCAACAGCGCATTTGTTTGAGAAGGATCAGGATGTCGTGGCTTTCTCCAAGGTGTTTGCAGTCAAGCGAAACCATGCATAGCGAGTCCGGGTCTCCGCTTGATGCGCTTCACGAGCAGCTTCATAACAAACCCAAAGAAAGTTGGGCGTTCCGAGTGCACACGGCCCCTACCATCAAGCGCTCGGCCTAGGTTCCAAGCTCGCCAGACTGGCCTTGGATACAATGTACGAACCACACAGCGCTGGGTTCATCCCCGTCTTCAACAGGGCTCCTTAAAAGATACATGTTGAAACCATTTGAAACATGGCTGTTTCCACCAAAATAGAGGGAAACCATCATTGACAAGGCAATGTTCAGGTGTATAATGTTCTTCGCCACGCGGACTGGCATCATCACTCTGTGCTTCTTCTCTGCCTGGTCAGGGGTTGGTGTTCGGACGAGTTGATGTGCGTGTGTCGATGCGCACTGTGTGATGAACACCTTCTGCTTCACCGCTCGTTGCATCCAACACATTTCATTCATTCATTATTTCATCCATTCATTCATTCAGTACATCATTCATCCATCCAGCCATCCATTCATTCATTCATTCAGTCAGTCAGTCAGTCAGTCAGTCAGTCAGTCAGTCAGTCAGTCAGTCAGTAATTTCATTCAGTCATTTCATTCATTCATTCAGTCAGTCAGTCAGTCAGTCAGTCAGTCATTCATTCATTCATTAATTAATTCATTCATTCATTCATTCATTCATTCATTCATTCATTCATTCATTCATTCATTCATTCATTCATTCATTCATTCATTCATTCATTCATTCATTCATTCGTTCATTATTTCATTGTTTTATTATTTCATTCGTTCATTCTGTCATTATTTCATTATTTCATTCATGCATTCATTCATTCGTTCGTTCGTTCTTTCATTCATTCATCCATCCATCCATCCATTCATTCATTCATTCATTCATTCATTCATTCATTCATTCATTCATTCATTCATTCATTCATTCAAGCAGACGTTCATGTCTTCTTGCGCAGAGTCTATGCGTCGAGCGTCCAACACATGCGCGCAGAAACGTGTTTTATTCTGCCAATGCCCTGCCTTTGCGTGCATGCACGGGCACTTGAGGAATCTGAACAAATGTCCATCCACTCAAACAAATCTGTCGATTGCAAACCTTCACACAAAAGGTCTGCTTGCTTAGCAGCTACTGAGGCTGATACTCTTTTGAAATCTCTCGAATGCGAGCCGGTGATGTTCTTGAAGAAGCGACACTATTTCACTGGGGCACGGCCTTAGAACCAGCCAGGAGAACAGCGGCATCATTGGCTGAGACGCTAACACAGAGCTGGAAAACCAAGATCTGACTGCGATCACTTGGCTTGGAAAGATTAAACGACCAGGCCAGGGGCTAGCAAACTGCTTTCATGCGCCCAGCCACCCATGTCCTGATGATCATTTGTTCAGTCCCCGAACATCTATGTTCGGAGTGATCATGCTGGTTTGTTTTGCAGTGAGGCAAGGAGTCCACCCTGCAGCTTCCCGCAACGCAGGCCGCCGAGGGCATGCCAGCAGCGAGCGATCGGGTAGCAGGACGCACCGGGTCACTGGCAGGGCGACTGAAATCCAGGCAATGCAATTCGGGCAACCCCAGCTTACGACCCGTTTCAAGACAATCACTGAGACTAACCAAAACTTTCGATATACTCAGAGCCCTTCTTATTGCCCGCTGGCTACTTGGCATCTTGATGCAACATCTTTCAACAGCGCTTTGAGAGGCTACGGTGCCGCCACAGCCCAATTCTTTCACCCGAGTTTGGGTCAAAGCCTTTGAGTGAACATTCCGAGGGGTTCACAGACTTCCAAAAAAGGGTGGTTTCCTATTTGAGCCACGATTTCAAGAATCTCACAGCAATGACACCCCTTCCATTCCTGGAAATTCCTCGCCTTGGCTTTGCGGGCTTGGGGCTCGGAGCATTCCCATTGATCTTCCCCTGGTGGCTAAAAGTGAAACATATTCCCCCGGGCTGCTCAAAAGATACCTTCTGCCCATTTGAAACATGGCTTTTTCCACCAAAATCAAGGGAGCCCGCCATTTACAAGTTGCAATGAGGTGTTTTGCATAGCATCCCTGTTCCCATTCCTATTTCTCTTCCCATTTCCCATTCGCCTGAAGGCGCCGATCGGGGGCTCCCCGATCCCCCGATTTCTCCCTGCTGCAAGGCACGCCCGGCGGTCGCGCTCGCGCTCCAGCGAGCCAGGACGGATCCAAGCGGGTTTTGGGGGGGACCAAGTTGGGAAGCCATGAGCCAGGTGAGGTCTTGAACAAGTTCCCTTGGAACAGGTTCCCTTGGAACAGGTTCCCTTGGAACAGGTTCCCTTGGAAGAAAGTTCCCTTGGAAGAAAGTTCCCTCGGAACAAGTTCCCTTGGCGGGAAATGCAAGATGACAAGTCTCAAAACGCGACACCTTAAGCCATGACTTCGTGGACCTTGCACCGGGACAGGACCTGAGCCCATGGCCATCCCTCCCACAGAGAGGCGCGTCGGGGTGGGCGATGCTTTTTGTTGAGACCGTTGAAATATGTAAAACACAAGCTGAAACTGGATCTATGGATGCTGGGGAGTTCGGGAGGAGACGGGCAGACGGGCATTCATTCACCAGGGCTTGGCAGCCTGCAACCACACCACGTGACTGTGCGACCAGCCCTGGCTTCCCTCTTATATTTTACTAAGTCGGTTTACACATGTGTTTCAATTGCTTTGACTTATACATTATAATATACATACATACATACATACATACATTAAGACGTACATCATGTAACATGTATATGCTACGCGAATGTGAGCCCACTGAGGCCATCTCGCTTGTCAGGCCGCTGCCGCTGGACCTGAAGAAGCCGGCGCCGCCGGGACCGGACGGAGGCGGCCGAAATGCAATGGCTCACGGCGGGCACATGGCAGCTTCTCGAAACGGCGGACTCCGCTTTTCTTTGGTTTTGAAAGGGAAACTAGGAGAACATAGGAGAACACCAACCCTTTTTGGGGATCGGTGGTATTTGTGGCCTTTGAACAGGGTGCTTTGTTTGGCAACTTTGGGGTAGGGTGACTTGGACAGCACTGGAGACACGTGCCGACAGGACAGCCAGGGAATCCGAGATCATCTCATGTTTTATGTCAGGCTAGAGGTGCTTGCGGGGTCGCAGTGTCAATGCAGCGCCTCAGCTCAGAGCGTAATTTATCATCGGAAACGCCGAAGGAATGCAAATGCAAATGCAAAGGCAAAATTTTAGGTAGACTTTTCAGCAGATCGGCCAGAAATATGAAACCCCGATAAGGTTGTGTCAAGGTGAATTTATATTGAAGCCTAAGATGTTGCAGTGCTGACATGTTTTTGTTTGAACAGCGGCTGCCAGGGCAGCTTAAGGTGGGAAAAAATATTTGACTCCATGCTGAACCTTCCACCTATAAGCGAGCAAGGCCATTGATCATGAAGGTGTTAGTTGACTTTTTGCATTTGCCACTGCCAATGCTTCTGTTTTTATGAATTGTGTGTTGCCCATCCGCAACTCCAATACAAACCCGATTGCTTCAAATTAACATGCCTAGGCTGAAGAGTGCTTGCCCTGCGGGTGGGTATTTGCGTCGCAGACATTCTTGAGTGTGAGCTGGCAAAATTGTGTGAGAAATTGTGTCATGTCCAGGCAATGGCTGGCGCAAGTTCTTGAACGAGGAAGAGGGCACGCACTGGTACCATCACGAAAGTCTCGGCGATGGCATCGAGTTCCTGTGCCATGGCCAGATGCTCTTGGCACAGGACTTGACGTGCTTGACCGACCTTTTGGGGCTCAAAGGAGAGTTGTCAGCCGTTGAGATTTTGGAAAGTCTGGATCTTTTTCTGGGGAGAACCAAATTCAATTTGGATTGGTGGCTTGGGGATAAGCCCTGGCTCTTGTAGATCGATGGGAGTCCCTGAGCCACCAAACCAATCCAAACCACCGGAAGTCGGGTGAGCGCCGGAGGGATCCAGGCGCGGGTTTCGGTGGGCTTGTTAACGTGTTTTGAGTTGGGCACTTGGACATGTCAGACGAAGGTGTTATGACTGCAAAGGGGCCAACAAGGAGAATTGGGTTCTAGGGCTACTTTCCTTGATATTAAGGGGGTCGCCCTTAAAGTGAGGAAGTAGTCCAGGGGACAGGAATCCCAGTGGTAGATGTGCGCAACCATGGAACTCAAGGTTGGAGGTATGAGTAGGCTGCTTGGAGAGACTTGCGGTTCAACCAGGCACACGCACAAGCACAAACATAAACATAGGCAGACACACACACACCAACAAAAAAAAGGCACACACGCACACAAAGATACACACACACACACACGCACACCGACCACCCGACAATGTGGGTAGTGAGACGTTGTGGGATATTTCCAAACTTTTGACGTCCTGATGTACAAGCCTTGCACACAGGGCATGATGCCAGTGATTGCCTTGGGTGAGACGGAAACAGGGCAGGAGATAGCGTTCTGGCAGATAGCGCATGGGTATCTTGGAGATTCGCAATGCACAGGTATGCTGGCATGTCAAAGGGGTCCTGGGTGAGCAGTTCTGCGTGGACTCAGGCGTGTTTGTGAGGCTGCCGTTGTTCAAATGGCCATGAATTTTAATTGGGAACTATCTCAAAAGAGATTGGTGGACATGAATCCCCACCTAAATGATGTCCACCAAACGGTGCATTATTTAAATTTCACTCCCAAATGACGGTTCCAATGCCTTCTCTTGCGGCTTGTCGCTGAGGTGCTGGGGCGAAGGTCAGGAAGTTCAGGCAGGGAGGCTTCCATGTCGCGGCTTCGAAGAGGTTTTCAGCAGTGATTTGCCACGGGGCTGCATGTTCCTCAAATCGTTGACCCCTCACCAATGGTACTCTTCCAGGTGTGGGGTCAACGATTTGAGGAGTCTTTTCTTGAGGAAGCCCAGAAGCCCGATTTGCACCAATGGTTTTCTTATGTTTTCTTCCAGTGGTGCAATCAGATTGTGGGCTTCTGGGCACCCTTGTGTGAACTTTGGCGGCTGTATGTCGCAGAGATTCGATCTGAGCAGAAGGACCAGCTTCGGGCACCGTGGTCCGCCGGCCTTCACATATCTCGCCCAAGATGAAACACTGGAGCTTGAGAGCCAAGCAGATTCATTGGCTGCATTTTGCTTGCAGTCTCTAAGGCAGTTAGACCCGTGACACGCAGACGTATCCACGTTAAGGCAATCCACTCTGCAGGCGCTCTTTTGACATACTGAGTACAGTTCATTGTTCGCGGATGGCAAGCAATTCAACACACACACACACACACAAACAAGCATTGAATCACACTTCTAGAGCTGTAAGACCAGCTGTTGCATTCAGCGGGAAGATGATTGTGTAGTCTGTTGTATTGTTGCCGCTTTGATAGCCCAATCTGACGTCAGGGTTGCTGCTCTAATTCCAGCCATACAGGGTGCGGCCCAATAGCTCGCATTCTGTTCCTAGTTGGCGTGGTTTGTGGAGATGTGACATGTAGAATGCTCAGAATGCCAGACCATGGGCGCAGGGCCCGCGCATCCGGTCGTTGCAAGGGCATGTCCAATGTGGTGTTTTTTTGCTAGGTCCCAACTAGACCAGTGCCCAGCGGCTTCTGGGGAGAAGAGGGTGCATTTGCATGGGCCACTCTGTTTTTGTCGCCGAGTTGACCAGTTTCGGCCCCCAACAAGTCGATGGCTACAACAGAATCGAGTCCGCCCCGAGCGTTTGAGCGCGAGGCCTACATCCCTGAGAACCCCGAAGCTCTGTGAGAGCTGCGCGCTTGCGATTAGACAGTTTCCGGTCCATGTAAAACGAGCCGCAGCTTTGCCAGGACACTAAACCCTAAACAGGTCAGGCAAACAAAGGCCTTGGTCTATGTACAATGTGGCACGATGTTGCCGCATTCTTTTTAGGCTTGTCGGTTTAGAATGTTTTACAGCTGAAACACTTTGTTCAAACATGGCACGTTGTTGCGTTTACAATGGGACAGGCGCATCTTACAGTCTTGCAACACGGGTGTTCAAAGGCAATTCTCAGTCGGCAGGGGTTGTTTGTTATAGCGGTTTCCCACAAGGGGCTATGGATTGTGATTCGTCGACACGCTTGGGACAGCCCTAAATGGCAATTTTTCAGGCCCCACTTACATTAGGACGCATGGCCAGGAATTGAAGGAGGCGCTTCCTCCACGCGGCTGATACTGAAATCCATTTGCACCTGCCCTTGGTGTTATTGAGGTCATTGTAATGCGCTTGGTTTGCCTGGCCACGACGAGATAGACTATGGCTGTGAACATAGCCTTCGCCGGTGTAGCTTTCAGGTATTCCGTTGGTTGTTGTCAGTCCTGCAGCTTTCCTTAACTCTCGTCAGGCCCAAGTTTGAAGCAGGTAGAATGTATCCAGGATCCTTGAGTTGTTTGAGGCATGCTGGCTTATCCCTCTGGCTACAGCGGGCTGGCGATCCCTTACAAACAGCCGGTTGTTTAGTGCTCGATCCGCATTTTTGGAATGCCAGGTGCAAGTGGGCGGACCATCAGCGCACAACAGCAACGTCCTGTCAGATATGCCAAGAAGCGACAGCAAAAACAAGAATCGCCAATGCTGGCTCATTTGTGAAGAGTCGTTGTGTATCCTGCAGCTATAACCCCGGACATGCGGCAACGTGTTAATTGCTTTAGCTGCATGAAATTGAGTGACGGTGAGAGGAGCCTCCGTTTGACTTGTGTCAATGCACGGTACGTAACATGGCCTATTCCCAGTCTTTGCAGTTTTAGTTCGCCGGCGTTAAGTTTTTGCCGATTTGGGGAACGGTTTGCTCTTCGTGCGGCAGGCGTGCAGAGCTAGCCACAGCCTACCAGACCTTTGCGTGGCAGGCAGCGGCTCGGCTAGGCGGCTAGCTGGCGGGGATCGGTGAGTGAGGAGAGACGATCAAGGGATCCTGGCATCCTAACTTGGTGGCTCTTAGCCATCCCCTTAGCTGTTTAGCCTTTTAGTGTTTAGGGGTAGTTTCTTTTTAACCCACTAAAAGTTAAACTTTTAGCGGGGGATCTGAGGGCATCCTAAGATCTTCCTTCCCAGAAGGTATGATAAACAATTTGCGGGGTGGCGGGGGAGCTTCGCAAGGTGTGATTCCCCAGGCTTTTTTTCACGCCCACGATTGGGCAGCCCATGGTGCAGATTTCCTTCCGGAGATTCAGCCCAATTTCGCAGGCTTTCAGACAGCAGACTTGCAAAGGGTGGACCTGCGATTGCAGGGTTTGAAGGGATCTCAGCACAAGGCTTTGGGCACAAGACCGTGGGCGCAAACGATTCCGATTGGTTTGAGCCTCTCTTTCAGGCACCTCCGCTGTGTAGTGACATGTAGTGACGAATTTTCCTTTTGACGCCCTTGAGCCATGCTGATTGGTGTCTAGTTTGTTGCTCCGAGGATGCTCTCCGCATCATTCCGATGTTGAAAGCCCGGGTGGCAAGTGTGGCTTGGGCATGATGACCATGGGCCGCCCAAGAAACGCAGAACTGAGGCGTGAAGACGACATCCAACAAGTTCCACATCATGGCCGCAATCATCAATTGTGGTTTCGATGCGCTTCGGCTTCAGTTCAGGTGATTCATGGGGTACCTTCCATTTCCATTCTTTCAGGGATTCTTCTTTCTAGAAAGCCTCAAGAAACTCAGGGAAAACAACGTTTTTTGTTTTTTTTTTTTAATAACGATGGTTGAAAAGAATGGGGAATCAACCCGTAGAATGTTTCACAGCTCCAGCAGCCACAGCTGGGCACTATTCCGATGCTTCGCGGTAGAGCCTTCGGCCATTTCGGCTGCGAAGCACATGGTCAGCCAGATATTTTTGTCTGCAAGTAAAGTTGCTGCGTTCAGAGATGTCCAGTGCCAGTGGCTGCGTGTTGGACACCGCTGAGTAGGCGAGGCCGATTGTCTTTGGTGAATATGGAGAGGGTTGAGTTGTCTTGCTACGAAGACGTTGTTGGTCGCTTTTCGTTTTTGTTGCATCTCTTGCCGCGCATACATTTTGTCGGGGCCAAGCGAGACATGATCCTTCTTGAACAACGCACATCCCTTGCACATGATATGTGTCTTATTAAGTCTTTGTCATTACACATGCAGGATGTGCGTCTGTGTGCAAGTACGAATTCACTGTGCTTGTTTTTGCAGCAATCATCCCCGGCGAGCGAGCATCCGCGAAGCAAGGTGCTCTACTTGGACTTTGATATTGTGCTGATGAAAGACCCCATGCCTCCTATCCTGGCAGACGCAGAGAAGGCTCTAGAGAGAATTGCATCAGCAATTCGCTACACAATGGTGCACACTCTTCACCGTATATTGTTGATTTGCTCCCACGGATGTGGCTTGAAGATCTTGAAGCACAAAACAGTTGCTTGCTGATTTGCTGAGCAACAGCCAGCAGCGCAGGAAGTTCAGTCACTGACGTATGTTCGTTCCTTGCCCGATTAATTTTAGAGGTGCAACGGCCTACACTTGTCCATGTCCCATTTAGATGTTAAGGTTATTGTTGGGTACGCACTTAGAATGGTTTCTGGACATCAGCTGCTGCATGCTGCTGCATTCAGGGCGCATATCCGCTGCTGCCATGCCAAAGCAATTCATACTTAGACTTGCTTTGTCGTCACGCCTTTGTGTGTGTGTGTGTGTGCGGGTCTTGACGTTCATATTTTAGAGAGCGCCACCCCTACCCAACCATACTTTACCCGGGTATTTTACACTTAGAACAAACACCTACTGTGACCTGCAGGGTACTTTTTTCCTGAGTCAGACGTCTAATTTCATGTCCACGGGGCATGAATGAGAACGCTTCAGACCAGGTCCGGGCAAGTCAGCAAGCTATTTTGCTGTATACCACGGCACAGGCACTGTGGCATGCAGCAATATTTGCAGCTCCTTATCGGTGCGTTCTTTGAGGGTCCCTCCGGGGTGGCTTGAAGGGGAAGCAAGGAATCCGGCTCGGACTGCAACTTTTTGAGGCAAATGGCGGGTGATTTGGGGTACCCGTTTTGGGGGGTTGGTGAAAAGGGTTGCACTAAAAGGACATCAAGATGTTGGGTAGACGGGTGGGGGGGGGTTGGCCCGGACTTGAGGGTGAGTTATGGGGTGTGTGTGTGTGTTGGGGGGAGGGTTACTTTTTCTTTTTTTTTAAACCATGCATTTTGACAAAAAAAGAACACTGAAAGGATCTCAGCATGTTGTTTTTTGCATGCATCTTGACACACACACACACGCACGCACGCACGCACACACGCACACAGGTGCCCATATTTTTTCTCATGTGCATCGCCCCCCTCAGAAGTGTCGCCAGGCAGAGCTTCTTCTCACGCGAGACATGGGCGGTGAGTGCATCAACATCGGGGTGCGGCGCTCGCTCGGCTCGTGTCGCTCGCGTGGGGTTCGGTGCGTTTTCAGGGCGAAAGGGGGAGAATCTGAGATTCGCTTTTTGACAGTGATCGAATTTCTGTGAAATTTGTTTTAAACTCTTAAGGGGAAAACAAGGGACAAGTTTTCTCCTTGGTCTGGCCTTTCTTCGTGGCCAGATATTTGGGATGTTCCATGTGGCACTTGCGGACGTGTGCAAAGCCTCCAGAAGATTCATACGGCTATGACGTTGAATGAGGAATGCCCTTCCAAGAGGTTGGTGTACACATGTACACTACTCCCCACCTAAATTGATGTTGATTAAGTTCAAGTTTTACAAGCAGTCCGGCACATCCACGGCCAAAGAATGACCGGGTATCCCTGTGCAGAATAGCTATACATACGTTTGCAGCGACATCTACGACTCCAAGCACTGGGAAAATGCATCAGACCCTGGGGATTGTGACTGGCAAGACTTATTATCCGGTTTCAGCACACTGCGCTGGCTCAACTTGAGCTGTTGGCCTGGCACTATGCACAGAGGTCCAGTGGTTGTTGATGAGTCTGGTGTCAAACTGGGGACAGCAAAGGATATTAAAGATACCCAGGTGACCCTGGGGCATATTCCGCGTGTGTGGAGTGTTGGCACACGTTCCACCTCGGAAGCATTGGTTGGCTGCTTTGCAAAGATTTGTGATAACTGCAACGAGCAAAGCTGCCAGCCAGGTTGTGTTCATGAAATCGCATCCGGACACAGCCCGCTTCATGCAGGAGCCCATGCACCAGCGAGAGCCAGAGCTAAGGGAGTGAGTTGTTTCAGCCTTTGGAGTGGCTGAGGGGTTGATCAAAACTAGCGCTTCATTGAGCAAACATTTGGATTGGCACATGTTTTGTCCATGGTCAAGATCCTGAGATCAGGAGCTGATAGTGTGGCTCTGGCATCATCCCTACGAGTTCTGCCAGAAAGCGCTGCTTGGCCATGCTGTTTTTTTGTTTTTCCACGCGTCTAGGCGTGGGTAGGCCTGGAAGTGCAGGCGTATTGAAGCCTGCGTAGCTGAATATCAGGCAGGAGCCGAACAGGCATGTCACTCGTATGATATCTTGCCGGGGCAGCAGGAGCGTGTTGAACCACTTGTGCAGTATGTTGAAACATCGCGTTCAATGTTGATTCTGCTTTGGGATTGCGCAGCGGTTGGCTAATATTTGTGGCAATATCGCGTACAGCTACTCATACATCCGTGTTCGATGGTCCAATTCGTGTCATGTGCTTCGCTAAGCGATCCTCGAGGCCTCTCATGCGAGGTGAGAGCTTCGCATACCACACACATGGCGGTGGCTCAAACAAGTGGTACCATTTTTTGGGCCCCTTGGATGGAAACAGAGACCAACACCTGAACCCCGGCTCTTTAATTTTGAGCCACACCCACATGTCCTAGCGTCTCGAGTGTTCTTGCATCGCTTGTGTTTCGCTGAGGTTTGCTGGCATCATGGGCCTGGAGGACGGACCTCAGCGCGTCTAAAAACTTTGGGTTTTGTGGGCTGGTTGACTTGATGTTTGGGGCTCTTTTAGGAAGGGGGGGGCTTGGGGTGAATCTAGTTGTGGTTTAGGCTGGGTTGAGTAGGGGTGGTTTAGGGTGGCTGGGGCTGGTTTATGGTGGGTTTAGGGCTGACCCACGCTGGTTCAGGGATGCGGCGTCTTGTTTGGTAGATTGTTTGATTTCTTGCTTGTTTGCGTGTGCGTGTGCGTGTGCGTGTGCGTGTGCGTATGTGTATGTGTGTGAGTGTGAGTGTGAGTGTGAGTGTGTGTGTGTGTGTGTGTGTGTGTGTGTGTGTGTGTGTGTGTGTGTGTGTGTGTGTGTGTGTGTGTGTGTGTGTGTGTGTGTGTGTGTGTGTGTGTGTGTGTGTGTGTGTGTGTGTGTGTGTGTGTGTGTGTGTGTGTGTGTGTGTGTGTGTGTGTGTGTGTGTGTGTGTGTGTGTGTGTGTGTGTGTGTGTGTGTGTGTGTGTGTGTGTGTGTGTGTGTGTGTGTGTGTGTGTGTGTGTGTTGTGTGTGTGTGTGTGTTGTTTGTTTGTTTGTTTGTTTGTTTGTTTGTTTGTTTGTTTGTTTGTTTGTTTGTTTGTTTGTTTGTTTGTTTGTTTGTTTGTTTGTTTGTTTGTTTGTTTGTTTGTTTGTTTGTTTGTTTGTTTGTTTGTTTGTTTGTTTGTTTGTTTGTTTGTTTGCGTGCGTCTTTGTGTGATTGTGTGGTTGGGATTGCGTTTGCTTGCTTTCTTGCTTGTTTGCTTGTTTGCTTCAGAGGTACACGAAAGGCTTCGCAAAGCACTAGGAATTCAGCTGCGGCCTTGGGTTTTGACCACCGCTTATTCGTTCTCTTGTTTGCTTGGCTGGTCAGACTCCGATGCACAGCTGTCAGCACCCATGCCAACGAGAAGTCAGACAAATCATCGGCTGTGGATTTGAGTGCTTGGAATGCCCTCCAGGGTTGGTAGAGCTTGGGCATGAAGCCAAACATGTGCCTCGCAATTAGGGTTGGAATCGTGAAAATGTCCGCATAGGGCAAAAGTGAATAGGTCATATTGTGTCGACGTGCTTCAAATGGTTTCCGTTTCAGCACTGTGTCAAGAGGCATCCAACTGTTTTTGAAAAACAGCCATTCTTCAAACCGAGCAGGACCTGCAGTGGAACGACTTCTTTGGGAGCCCCGTGGGCCAGTTGCCTCGCTGGGCCTTCCTCGACTCCCTGAACGCCTTTGTCACCAGCGGCTCGGCTTTCAGACAACTGAATTGTTGAAGGGGCTTGGTTTGTTGTTGGTTTGGTGCCAGGCTTCTTGTTTGTGTTGTTTTCTTCTTTATCATAATCAGCACCAGCATCGGCATCGTCATCATTGCTTCAATATGTTTTCTCTTCTGCTTTGTCTCATTATTGATTTTCGAATATATTTGGTGTGATTATTGTTCATCCAGTTGTTTGTGACTGTTGTGTTTGTTTTGTTATTCTTGTTTATGCGTCCTCTTGTTGCACAGGCATGGTTCGGCCCAGTCAAAGCTTTGCCCAGTGCCGCTGAGACAGAAGGCGAGCACAGGCGTTGTAGTTTAGTCAATAGTTGTGGTCCTTGAATGAGGCAGGAGATACATAGCGAAACAAACACAACAAACACATACAACCGGATGAATGGCAATTACAACAAGCATATTCAAAATACTTAGACACATCAGAAGGACAGTTCATTGCTGGCTTGCAATGTTCCAGGAGTTGCCGCAAGAAATGGATATTGTTGGGACTGCTTGAGATCGCGTGACCTTGGACTGCCTGTGCCTGGTTCCTTTGCACAGGGAAAAAACAACTCACCATGCACACCTGAGAGCATGGACGAGAAGCCAGCACAGAAACAGGCAGCTCATCAGCTTTCATTTGTTTGGCAGCGGAGAATGTGTGGGATTGTAGCATGCATCTTCAATCTTTTTGCGGTTGTTAATAGTTTGGTCAGCAAGACGTCTGCTTGCGTTGTTCCTATTGTTTACACACGCTCTGACAATGAAGTGTGATAGCCTCGTGGTGGAAGGAGAGATCTGGGCCACTCAATGCTGCAAGCATCGACGCCCTTCAAGTTTGAGCCTTCTTGGCAAGACTGCAGATGAGGCATCAGCATGGTGGAGAGGGTTTGTTTCTGTGGCACAACTTGCTGCGAATTCAAACAAGGCCTTCTTTGTGGCAGCTGTGTCCAATGTTTCCTAGGTGACCGATTGGGATTTTTTCCCCTATCGTCAGGGCTTTTCCGTTGGATTACGAGAGAATCAGGAATGTAATGTACTGTTAGCTTCTCAGGCACCGTCTACTCCGGCGAGGTGAACGGATGGACAGGCGGGAGGCTGCTGAAATCTGGCCACTGGGAAAGCTGGACATGGGACTCGTGTTCTGCGTAGATTGACCTGCAGCTTCCATCAGAAAAGGTGACAGAGTATTCTAGCAGGAAAGAGAAGCTAGTGCTCTCCTGAAGATTAATGTTTCAGTCGGCGGCGCCCGGAAAACTGCAACGTCATGCATGCGCAAATTTGTGTTTGTGTGTGAAGATTTCTGTGTGTTTGTCAGCCAGATTTGCGATTTGCAGCACTTCACTGCCTGCACTGTCAATGCTTAAGATGTGACGGATGAGTATAGAGTCTGGTCCCTTTGTCATCCCAAGAAGTTAGCCTTAGCCTTTGATTGCCAGACAATGTCTAGGGGGTTTTGACATGGATCAAGGGACCCTGCGTTTCCCTGAAGTCCCAGGCAAACGCATGGAGAGCTCGCATTTCCCCATGTGCGAGATTTTTTGCGTTTTGCGAGGCGGCGCAGATCAGATTGTGATCTACCACTTTCTGGATGGCACCGGCGGAGTCGACCCCAAGTTCGCCGTGCCTTGTCCAAGTTGATGTTCCTTGCACTCCGATTTCTGGGGGCCCTGCACATTTTGGTGCGGCGGGATGAATGGAGAGGTCCAGGGCAATAGGCTGCCAGAGAAGCACACAATACGCCACTGGCCTGGATAAAGACTTGCGTGAATCATTCCAGCGCATGGGAAGTACCTAGGTTTTTCATGTTTTATTGCTATAGGAATTTTCCGTCAGGGCCAGATGAGCTTCTACGCAATTTGTCATACCTTGGTAGCTTTCAAACTTATTCAACAATATATTCATATTGGAATGCAAAGGAACACTGCAGGAAGTTGAAGACGCTTTCTCATTGCAATTGGCTTTGCGTTTGCCTTTGCTCGCCAGGGTGGTAGATTGCGATTTCCGCTTTGTGTCTGTGCTTGCTCGCTGTTGGAGTTGCATGCTATGTTTGTGTGTGTGTGTGTGTCTGCTTGTGTTTTGGGTTGTGTTTGTGGTTGTGGAAGGGTATGTTGTGTGTGTGTGTGTGGTGTGTGTGTGTGTTTGTTTGCGCCTGTGTTTGTTTGTGTGTTTGTGTGTTGTGCTTCTGTGTGTGTGGAGTTTGTTTGTTGTGTGTGTGCGTGTGATTGTTTGTCTCTATGGGTGTGTTTGTGTATGTGTGTGCGCGGTCACGCGTTTGCTTGTTGCCAGCTTACCTGTTGCATGAGGGCAAAAGCGTACCTACAGTAGAGGAACGATTACCTGGGCCCTCAATTTGAATTTTCAACATACCGATTTGTGCATATGCCCAATGGTTTGTTTGCGTTCGCCATACTTTTGTTCTGAGTTGCTTGTGCATACAGAAGAACATGTCCTGTAAATCTATGAGACAAAAACAAATAAACGGCAACGTTGAGGTAGCAGACCAAACACGTTGTCCTACAAGAACCTGATGTGAAGTAATTAAGGGTTTCAATGTTTAGTTCTTAAACACATTAAGTGTCTTGACTGTGCCACTCGTTTTACCCGGATTGCCCTATCTTAAGAATGCTAAGACGTAACGTTAGGGGCTGATTTTGGCAAACTGAGCCTGTCAGACTGTCAATACTAGCCTTTTTTGGTTTTGTGCGACATTCCTTTGGGGCACAACAGTGAAGTTGGATGCATTGACATTTGAGGATCGATGATTTCAGGCGATCTGCTAAGCCATCAAACACGAGAAACGAAGGAAACTCTTTCGTCACTGCTTGCAAGGGAGAGCCCACACTTCAGGTGGCTGGAGAGTATCAGAGTCTGCCGCGTGCTGAGAGAGCTGCATTGGCGGGCGCTAAGTTTGTACCAGTTGCACACTGCACGTCTAGTTTATGCTTCAAACGACAGATACAGGGGTCCCTGCATTTCCCCTTTTGGTGTTTTTAAGCATCGCCTGTTGGGCAAATTTAAGGTGATGTATCCTTTTGCTAAGGCATGGTGATGTTTCAAGGGGAAATATGGAACCCTGAGATGTAATGCTCTATTGCTCTTGCAAGGTGAGAGCAATTGCCAGCCGCAATTTCCCGTTAGGTTCGAACTCTTCTACAACAATGAGAAGCTGGACTTGGCTGTGCGGGCCTTGCGTCAGAAGGGTTCTTGGTTTTGTTGATCCAGATGATTGAGTGCTATGGATTTTTACGGGCGTTCATGGGTTTTGGTACCCCTCGGTGTATGGGTTCCACGGGTTCCATGGGTTTCATGTGGCTCATGGGTTTCATGGGCTGGGGTTCCACGGATTGGGTTTCAGAAGGCGCTCTCCGGGTACCGCTGGCATGGAGATTCGCCGAGGATGGAACCACGCCCCTCTATGAGCAGGAGAGCCGTGGACCCCATGTAACTCTCATGAATCCCCTGATAATTATATGTATACCTGGGGCCGGTTTGGCCTTCAAGAACGCATCCCCAGACCTTTCTCCAACAAGTTTGAAAAGACTGCCCCTTTGGCAAAAGACGTCCTTTCCCTTTTTGTGCAAAGGTGGAACACGGTCGAAACACCTCCAAAGGTTTGAAAAGGCACACTGCCCGAGCGGGCCTGTAGCGGAGTCAACACAGCTTGCTTTTCGTTTCTTCTCAACATACTCATTCCTGTTCAGCATCACACGTATGTACTGTGCCATGTGTACAGAAAAAATAAATAAATAAATGAATGAATTAATTATCTAAATCAGTGTGTATATATATATATTTACATATTTGCCCATGGACATGTGAATTCGACATTACCTACCGCTAAAACCAGGGTTGTCCCCAGAGCCCCATGTGGGCCGGGCGATCGATCCCTCGCCTCGCGAGGACGAGCGCGTGATGTCGCAGCTGGACTTCTCGCAGCAGCCGAAGCCCACCAAGCTGCTGGCCGGGAGCCAGAAAAACTGCTTCGGGAGGGATATTTTTTCTGTGTCGAAAGCAGTGGACCCCCCTCTCTCTCTGTCTCTGTCTCTCTCTCTCTCTCTTTCTGTAGCGCTAGTGGTGGATGCAAACCAAAGTTGTGTGTTCTACATGTTTTTTGCCCAACTTTGAAAAAAACAGCAGAAAGTCGAGGTTCCATGATCTGTTGCAAGCTTGGTGGAAGCTGTGGGTTCCTTCGCGGGATCCAAGCCCTTGGTTGTGTTTGGGTAGTCCAACAGGGGACTGTTGAGTCCGAAAAATCCATTGACAATGCATGGTTTGGGGCGTGAATGAGGAGTTTGGGAGTCCGGTTTTTGATGGGAAGGACATCAGATTTTGGGCACATGTGCCGTCCTTGGATGCAACAGGCCGCATGAATCACCTTGGAAAGAGCCGTGCATCTCCCAAAATGATCGGTGTGTCTATGCTTGGCGGTCTTCATGGTGATGCTTGCTGCTGGCAACTGCACGTCAAGATGAATAGATTGAACTAGTCCAGTGGCACCGCTTCGAGAACATCGGGCCTTCGCAGTCACGAGATGAGCAAGAACGGCCAAGGAGCGTTGGGAGATCTTGCCACGGAATATGGATGTGGCTCAAAATTAACCAGCTGGGGTTACGCAGGTTTTGGTCCATGCATCCACCAGGGTTCCATTTTGGGTACCAGTTTTTGAGCCACAGCCATAATCACGGGAATGCCGCGGAGAGCATTCTTCGGCACTTGGATCGAGCTCTTGGCCAGCATGCGCCAGTGCTGAAGCTCCGAGTGGCGTCCTGACACCGATCTTGCGCGATGGAGGCTGTGTTTGGGATAAACACTGGGGAGACGGAGCGCTGCACAGGTCGGCCAGCGGCTGAAAAAGTGCCAATCAAGTGAGAACCAGGCAAGGAGTGAATATGAAAGAAAGCCAATCACAAGAAACTTGTAAATCAGGAGACCCGACAAATGACGAAAACACAAGGCTTGCGGCGTGAGGAGCATATCCAAGGCCAAACACACACTGCCTGTGGAAGGCTTACTTGAGACCAATAATGAGAGATATTAATCTTGCATCCAGGGCCAATGTCTTTCGAGATAGCTTGCTTTTCACTCCTTTTGGATTTACCATACATTTGAAGTCTTGAATCTAGGTAAGAGGTACAGCGAGTGTGGTTTCCCAACAACTTTGCCAAGAGGTTGCATCTCAGTGCTTTGACCTGTTCCGTGCCTTCTACCACTCACCCGCCCAAACCAGAGTCTGGCTAAGCCTTCAACACTTTGAAGGTTTACCACTTCTCAGTCAGCATACTGGCATCCCCTTACTGGAACTGGCGGTTTGTCTCATTTGCTAAAATTTCGTGTTGCAGACTGCGTGTGGTCAGATAGCTGAAAGCTACTGTGGATGCACGAAATCCTGCACCACCTAAGAAACCCTGGTTTCTGATGATTCCCCTGTAAATACCAACAAACAATGGCTTCAACCATGGTTTCCCTTCGTGGTGCGAAATGAGTTTCGCAATCATCCACAGTATGGGTGGGGCATACCTGGGCTTATGTTCCCCGTCCCCAGCTTCTCCCCGTCCTCTGGGCTTCCGATCCGCGCGGATCGTCGCTCCCGTCGGCTTCGCCAGCCTTGCAGCCACATCGAAGAGCACGCCTACCCCGCCTGGAAGCGGAGGCAGCGCAAGGAGCTGCTGAAACGTCAAGACATCCGGGCCCAGTGGTGAAAAGAAGGGATGCTGATGAGCTGTATCCGGGTGTGACCAAGCAGACCCCTCGAATTTTACTGTTTGTTTTTTCCCCAACCGCTGAAAGCTTTGGGGTCTGAGATTGGCTCCGGGGTGGTCCGTGGCGGCGCCGAGGTAAGGTTCCAGGAGAGGAGGGTTCCACCAGGGTTCCACGAGGGCTGGGGGGTGGTCCGAGCACTGGAAAGAGCCCCGCATGCTGTTGGGGATATCACCTGCGTTTTTTTTTTTTTTTTTTGGGGGGGGGGGGGGGGGGTAGATTTGCACAACATACATGTGAATTCTACCTTTTTTTTTATTTTCCTTTTTTTTTTTGGCGTGCGGATGTGCACAACATACATACACGTGTTGTCAGGAGTAGATGTTGAAGTTGCAGACTTTTCATGGATCAGGGGAGTGCTTCCTTGTTTTGGCGTGGGTGGCTCGTTGGTGAGCCCAAGCAGCACATGGATACAGGGTTTGCAGAGTCTTCACTTGCAGGATATATGGAGTTTGACTCGCTGAGGAGTTTGTAGTCTCATCATTGAATAGACTTATTCGCACAGAGACGCTCGTTTGGTTGGGTGTTTGTTGGCACGAAGTTATTAGGTTTGCAATCAAGCTTCAGCGTCCGACAAAATGTGGCTGGTCCGCAGGTTTGCCGCTTCCCACTGACTTTTGGAGTTCTGTTGGCATCCGAACTGCCAAATGTTTGGTTGTGACAGAGCTTCGACGAGTTGTCCCAAACTATGACAGATTGGTTTGTCAAACAAATTGGGGGAGGGCGCGGCGAAACTCTTTGAACAGCAAAGCCCTCGAGCATGGGACGCATGGAGGCCATGGCGTGGCTTTCCGGGAGAGATTTCAAAATTTCAAGCGATTTTTGGGGAGGCTCCATGGCTATTTGCGAGGTTCCGGCCGGATTTTCGAACGCGTTCTCTGAGAAGGGAGTGTTTGATGCCATATGAATTTTATGTTTTTTTGTTTTTGTTTTTGAAAAGTGGTTGGTGGACATAAATCTCAACTAAATGATGTCCACAGGGTCAAACTTCAATTTCAGACCCATGTCTCGCATGCCTTGGCTTGCCTGCACGCCCCGACCGCACGGCTCGCATGGGGATGGCAGCAGCGAGATCCGGCACGCGCCAGGGACCCGAGTATGGGAACCTGTAGCTGTCCTTTTTGGTGGCTTTGGTTGCAAAAATAGAGGGCCCTTTGGTGGTTCAATCAACTACCAGGGCCATCCATTTTGCCAAAGAGGACACCTGTGGTTGGGAAGAGCTATTCTTTGAGAAATGGCCATGGAACTACTGACAACTGTTGGCCGTTTTAATCAGAGGCGGGTTGCTTGAGAAGTTCTGGGAGAGAACTCTACAAGGATCAGAACGACATACTTAAACTGTCCGGGATGCCGATCGTTGGAAAACGGGTGTCCCAGGAAGAGTATTAGATGTTGGCCATGACGACAATCATGAGGTCCGGATCGAAACAGCAAGAACAAATAGCTACTGTAACATTCATAAGACGCAGGTGTTGGAACGTCTCGTAAGGCTAGATGGGCGGCTTTCTTTTAGTATCTCGATGATTTAAATATCTTGACAGTCGCAACCTGAACCTGGTCATTCGTACTGAGCGTCGGTCCGCGAAACCAGTGCATGGTGTTGTACTTAAGCTGTTCGCTGGCACATGAATGGGGACTCCCGAGTCGGCAAAGAGAACTGTAGCAGCTGGGATGACTGAGGCCTGCAAACAAAGAGAAACGTGCATGTGTTTTTTGGATAGGGCCGTCTCTTACTTTGCTGGCATGATCCCAGTTTCGTGAGGAACGCACTTCGATATCACTACAAGGAACCTTCATTGGATTGGTTTTCATGTACATCCAAAGGCTTTTGGTGAAGGGCCGGCTTAGCTGTCCAGCTTTGCTTTGATCCGTGCACAAAGTGTGCCATGCTCTAGCCCAGGACAGACTTGGCATCCTGAGCCTCACAATGTTGCAGCCGGAGCCCGAGTCACTCTGCAGGGAGCGGGTGCGGCAGCGGCTGAAACCTGCGTTGTGAACAGTACTTGCCGCATAGGCTGAAAGTCACTGGTGTCGTATATGTATGGTTCAGCATCCAGCGAGAAGAGACGACGCCTTTTTGTTTGGCTTCCATGAGAACTAGTTGGGCAACGTGGACCTACGACCACGCATTGTAAATGGTTACTTTCCGGCCCACCAACCAGTCTGAAATCAGGCTGAACTGTCAGTCTGATTGCCTGCCCGCCAACCATGAGCATCTCAAATTGGCTGTTTTGTTTCCCTCCTGCTTTGGGGCGACAGCTAATCAGAGGCACTCGGCATAGTGCCCCTTGCTGTGTTGTTTGTTGTGTTTGCGCTATAGACTCGCCTTTAGTGCAACAACTGCAAAAACGATCAACCATCCCAGCTTAAGCCTCCGCTCAATCAGAGATATCCACAATGGACCACATATTGTGACTTTTCGTGGTGGCTCCCAGCCATCCGGTTCCTTAGCTTTTTTGCTTTTTGGTGTTGAGGGGGGGTTTCCATTGAACCCACTAAAAGTTATTCACTTTTAGGGGATCTGAAAACAGGCAGCCTTCAGTCTTGAAGGCATACATTGCTGCGCGTGCCCGGAATCCCCAGGTCTTCCCCCCCAGCATAGCCAAACATGTTGCCTGAGAAGGGCCCGGGGGTAGCATGAAACCAAAAGTAACGCAAAAGGCCCAGAGGTCAGCTACTTTGCTTTTCCCTGGTATGGTTGCAGCTTGGCCTGACATGTTGGGACCCGGTCCAATGCATTTTGGGTGAAACGAAGAGTGAAACCAAGTTTCAGGGACCAAACTGAAGTAACCACTTCACCCAAGCGCCAGAAGTCTGACTCTGGATGTGTGGCATCCGTCCGTCGATCTGTCTATCTATATTTAGTGTTTTGTCCTCTCATTACACATCAACCACTCCAGACAGCGAGCTTCCTTGCGGATCTTGAGGCCCGGAGACCGGCAGGTGCCTTCGGTTCGGGCCGGGCAAAGGCTTAGTGCGGAGAGATGAAAGTGGGAAACCCGGGAGTTGGCGGACTTTCAGTTGGCAGATCGTCTCTACAGCCCGTGAAAAAGGGCAATCTCAGTGATCAATGGGAGCTTCCAGTTGGGGGGAAGTAGCGTGTTGGGCAAATGTGCAGCATGTTGGCTGTTGCAAGAGCCAAATAGCAGTCCCATGAGTTGTTTGGCGCAGCTGCTACAATGAACTGGAAGAGTTGGTTCTATTATCTATGATGCCTCTGCGAGTACTCTTGGGCATGGTGCAATACATATCTAATATCCATGTCTTGTGCCGGCTACGAAGCTACTCTGCCATGATAGCCGTTGCCGGCGGAATTGGCAAGGAAAGCTTTCGGAACCGTTTTGGCCAAAGTCTTCCAGCCGTTGATTCCGCCAGGTGCAGCAGCGTAGCATGCAGGATCCGCTGGGCGCTCAACGATTGGCCAAATTCATCCAGCAGACACCGGTGAGAATCAAAAGCCAGTTTGGCCGACGTGCCGGTGTGCGTGCTTGCGTGCTTGCGTGCTTGCGCTTGTGTGTTCGTGCATGCGTGTGTGCTTGCGGGCGACGGGCGGGCAGGAGAGTGTGTGCGTGTGTGTGTGTGTGTGTATTAAAGTATGGGGGCACTTCTTTTCTGAATGAACGGCCAGTGCGCTTGGGATATGTGCATTTCAGCCGTTGCGGGGTACCTAATACCTGGATGAACTGGTCGCATGAATTCAATGAAGCTCCAGTGCCCACTGCAAGAATCTTGGGAGGAAAGATGCACTTTGTAAGAAGGTCGCAAGTCGTTTGCTGAGGTTTGGCATGTTCGACATGCAGCCCTTCGGTGGAGGTGCGAAGCTTCCAGTCTTGCCAAGCCGCGTTGCTTGAGAGTCAATTTGTAAGGTCCGGAACAGGGTCATTTCCAGACCATTGTTCTAGACCTTCGTTCCAGACCTTGCCAGGAACATGTTCCAGACCTTCCGTTCCAGCCCTTGTTTAGAGCGCCAGGTTGGAGTACTGATTCAGGCTGTCACTTCCTTGAGTGTTTCCCTGGTGACGCAGGAGCAGGTGGAATGCTTGTGTGTCTTGAAGAACGTGTTTGCAAGCAGGCATGCAGCAGGAATAGTCCAGAGCGCACGCTGCACAGAGAGCGGCGCGGAGATAGAGTCGCGAAAGATTTGCCAAAGAGAAGTGTTTTCTCACAAAGGCAGCAGGACTTGAGCAACTGCCAGTTCTTGCCTTTTATGCTGTCTTGTGTTGGCGGGCTGTTGTTTACAGGAGGGCTTTGCAAGGAAGATCTTCAAAGTGGGACAGTGGAACAGTGCAATCACCGACTTCTGTTAAAGACAAGGCCAGGTGGCCAGGAGCCACTCTTCAGGCTTGGTCCGAACTTCAGCTTGAAGTTTGTTGCAGGCCCCTCGAAAGGGAAAAGGCCGGCAAGCCACCGGCCGCCCAGGTTCCTCGGTTCGGCGGCGATTTCCCAGGGCTAAAGACACATCTCACGGTCGCTTCTCAGTAGTCAAGGGTCCGGTGCTAGAAGGGAATGAAAGCGTTGTCCTGGAAACTCGCGCCAGATCAAGGGGCTTGCCGGTGATGGCAACAGGGTTCTCACGCGAGTCGAGTGCAAGAAGCCTTCACCGTGATCACTCGCTGTGGTGCGCACAACCGTTTCACTACCTTCCAGTCACACTTGGGACGTCAGCACTCGCGTTCACCCTTGTGGGTTGTGCAACTCTGGCGAGTCAGCTTCAAAAAGTCACGCAATGACTTGTTCTTGACCGGCGCGCAATGACGCGGTGACAACAAGCAAGGCTGTGCGCCCCTGGTCGCCTCATCAAGACATCCAACCCCTCCACCCATCATCCATAACGGTGTGGCTCAAAATTAAGGAGCTAGGGTTACGCAGGTTTTAGTCTTTGTTTCCATTTACCAGGGGGCCATGTTGGGTACCATTTTTTGAGCCACAGCCATAACACGTG